TGAACTGGACTAAATTTAAATGTCACTAAATTTGAAACGGTTCAATGGCCAAGGTTTAAAGCGGTATATAATAGAGTGGCCCTCGGGATGAAGAAGACTACAGTAGGAACAAAGCTGCTCAACCCTTGGAAATGCTCAGAGAAAGTATTTTCTCAAATATACAACCATAGAGCAATAAATAGAACTTTTATGACTCAGGTTTCATACCAAAAGTTTTTTTTTTAGATAATTTTTATGACCATTCCTGTGTAGATATTCAGAATGAATAAAGAATCTATGGATTATTGATGTTTCCATTAACATTTTTACAAGTTTCCTGTTTGGCTCCACAGAAAAAGTAGGTTGAAATCTTAAAAAAAAAAAAAACAGATTGCAGAAGGGTTATCTAACAGGAAGATTTTGAAGTATTCAAGCGGCACCTGCTGGGATATGTGTTTCTATGGTAAAGAAAAATGCTGACGAGTTAAAACTCACTTTAGTTTGTTCTAATGGAGTGATGTAAATCAAGACGGGAGAGATTAGGAAACTAAAAACAGAAAAGAAAATGCCTGGAATGGAATATTTAACCAATTACAGTTTGGTTATTTGTAAAGTTAGATTATTCTTAACCATGTTAACGCTGTTGTGGTAAAGTGGGTATTTATGGTTATCAGATTACTGTTGGGCTTCCTTTTTAGCTCGTGGCACACCTCTTTGAGCTTGATCTGTTTGGGTTCTCTGCTGCCAAAGCCTTATGACCTTTATAAAGAGGACCTTGTGACAGATACTTACCTACAAAGACTGTATAGTCTTTCCTTAATAATCCGCACATGGTGAGGAACAGGATGGGGTGAAGGTTTGAATCAGATTAAAGCTTTCTTGTGAACATCTTGACAATCCGACCAAAAAACTGTTTGTTGATCAGCTCTTTTGATGCTTTTTTTTGGAGCTATAGTTTATTTAATATTAACTCATAAACTTGGCAAGTTTATATTAGTGTCTCTTTGCTGTGTTTAGACATTTAATAAAAAAGGTAAAAAAAAAAAAGATGCTTGAAATTACACCCTCACATACAGCATACCCAGTACTAATTAGTTTATGGGGGTTTAGTCATGAAAGGCACAATGATAAGAGCATCCTACCGCTCCACATAGCTGAACAGAGATCCACTGCCCTGAAAAAACGCATTCTGCAAACAGAAGAAATACATTCATAACGATGGAAGTTATCAGAAACATTAAAAGCATTTTTTTTTTGGTCAGGCCTTAAATTTCTTTAAAAATCCAACAACAAAGAAAGCGGACAAAGAAGTTTAAATCCATGGTTATGTTTTTTTTACTTCTCAATTAGGTCAAATAATCAACTGCAACCCACATTATGCCATTCCTCTTCACAGGCTCCAGTGGTGCAATGGGTCACCGCATGGTTCTTTTTCTTTCTAATTCTTTATGCCTCAATTTTACATTTTACTGCAAAAAAAGAAAAAAAAATCAAGTGAGTATTAAATGTAAACACACCTTACATTCATTTTAAGACAAGTTTGATATACCAACAAAATTTGTGAATCTGGCTTTTATATGCCAGTGTTCTGTCAGATGAGCATACCCAGTCAGACCAGCATACCCAGTCAGACCAGCATACCCAGTCAGACCAGCATACCCATTCAGACCAGCATACCCAAATACACTTTAAACTACCTCAATGGGCATGTACCCCTTTGTAATGTACAAAAAACTAATTAATTATTACTTCAGTGTTTTTGGAAGCCTATTAAAAAAAATTGTTTTGTACATGATTAAAGGGATACACGACTGTTGAGGTAGTTTAAAGTCTATTTTTCCTTCAAAACTAAAGGGATGAATGCAAATATGACATCTTGAGCGTGCGTATTGACTATGGGTATGCTGGTCTGATGCGGTATGCTCATCTGACAGAACACCAGCCTTGAATGTTGATGTTATGTAAACAGGTTTGCTCCCCCCACCATCCTTTCTCCTACATATGTGATCTGATGTCCAGGAGCAGCGAAGGTTGACCAAACGACAACTGCTTCATATCAGGAACTATGGCTGAGAGGCGCTCTGGGCGTGGTTCATGGACTCATATACAGACACCCACCAACCATATCTCACATGGTTAAGGATGCATTTGCCCTCAGAGTCATCCCCTTCACTCGCTTCCATGTGCTCTCATGTGCTATATGTAGATTTTTTTTTCTTTTTTTTTTGGGAAACCTTACATCAGTTTCTGTCATTCTTCTATATTATTGTTCTGTGTCTCTTAGATGGGCTGTTCTGGAATTTCTTTAATTTCACTTTGGGATTAATAAAGGCAAGTTGAATTGAATTTAACTGAATCAAGTATTCGAAAAATGTCAGATCTTACAGATGTTGTGCACTTGGTCTGCCATTGTTATTTATTTTTCAAAGGTCCCATATTATGCAAAATTCACATTAAATCATTTTGTAACAGTCATATGTATCCTAAAGCTTGTGTATGAGATTCACAAAAACCATCCTTTTACCTCTGTGATTGCCTTTCTCCACCTCTTAGCTAATGTTTGCTAACAATGGTCTTTTATATAAAATAATTTCACTGTCCAGACCACCCTGTAGCCTTCGGTCAAGTCATGGCCTTCCTCAAATGCATTCTTTATCAACTCTGACTGGTTGTCATGGTTGCGGGTTGTGGCCTCCTGGTCTTTGGGAGGATGGGGGCGTAAAACCAAGACAGCTCGTCCAAAGGAGGACAAAATAAGGAGGTTCTTGGTAAAGGCTCCCACAGACTGCTACTCTAGGTCTACTATCAAGACCCCCACGATGGCAGCCCGCTGCTCCCCAAGGGGAAGGGTTAAATGCAGAGGTACATTTCTCCAATGTTAGATCAAGAAAATTCAATTATTATTGTTATAATTATTATTAACCATGAACAGTGAATAGGGATGGACAGTTCATCAGGCTCAAAAGACATATACAGAGGACATATTCAGTGATATAAATTATCATTAAAAGGTTTAATGATTCCAGATAAAGGATGTTTAAACAGTGCAAAATCTAAGGACCCAAAAACAACCCTGGAGGTTAGAGTATCAGTCCTGGAAATGTACTTTTTCACCAGAACAGAAAACATCCTCAAACATGCTTAAGCTTTGCAAACAAATTCAAATGTCTGATCTGTTCTATGATCAGAGGAATTAAGCTTAGTCTAAAACTGATCTATGTCTTGGTCCTCATTTGAAGAACATTTCTGATGATGAGTGTTGCTTTTCTAAACAGTCTGACATTTATTTTAGAGCCTTCGCCTTCCCACTGGAAAGTTGCAGGTTAGATTCCAGTTGCCACATTACCTGTAGATGTTTTTTCTGAAAAGACACTGAAATCCACTTCATCACCTAACAGATTAAAACCTAACAGACAAAACTGAACCCAGATATTGACGTTGTTTCTAAAAGGCAGCTAATTCCTGTCGGTACAGACCGTCTTTCCGTTTGCAGTCTAGTCATTTCCCAGCTGTGTCTCTGTCTCTTTCTGTACCTTCACTCATTGCCGTCAAGAGCATAAAGATGAGACATCAGACCCATTTCCTCATCAAATCCCCTTCTCTGTTGCACCTCAGGGTGTAATTGTAATAAAATCTTTATTAGTCACCACCCTGGGTAACTCCACTTGCATCCACTGCATCCACTAAAACTCGGCAAGCTGTCAAATTTAAAAAGGTTTCCAATAGCAACACTGTGCATGTATCTTGTTTTCCTCTATGTAGATAAGGAGGACTAATATCCTACACATCAGTGGGTTTTTCAATATGAAATACCTTGGAGCTGGATTTATTTCTCAGATTACTGCTCAAGGTACAGTTCATGACCTTAAGCAGATCTAAAAAAGAAAAGCTCCTGATAGGATTGTCTATAGCTCATCCCGATTTTGAATGATAAATCATTTTTATGTGTTGCTGTGTTTCTATAACAATAATAACAGGAAGCAGTAAAGTCTTGGTTGTGTCTGATTAAACTAATATTGGGACTCCTGAATATGAAAGGATTGATTTTGAGCTGAAGCGCTACATTCAAATAAATATAAAGTATAAAAAATTTACAAATGAATTAATTTTGATGTCGAAATAATAACCAACTGTAATAGTTGGATGTTAAAAAATTAAGCACCCAAATATTTTGTAGTTTCTATAATGCCATGAAATCCTTTCACTGTGACTCGCTAAATAAATCCTGACATCTGGATTCTTGACCTGGTCAGCTTTCTGACCATCACCTTACTGTCTAGCAGTTATAGCTACACCCACTTTATCTCTCTCCTAAACCTCCCACCTGGAGAAGAATGCCTAAGAACGGCTCTTCTGTTCTGGAAAGTTAAAAATGTGTAGACTCTAGAATCCTGTCTCTCACCGTGACGGTGTGATGCTGAGAGGAAAGACTTAACATGGGTGGTGAGGAAAGTATGGGGCATTGTGGGATACCAGAACTGGACTCGATTTATGCTCCACAGGAAATGGAGAGATGCATTCCTACAGATTCCATCCTAACGGGCTTTGAGCCTTTGTTTGCACTACAGGAAGTTGGTTCAGCTGCATTAAATCTAAAACAAACACACCCGCAGACACTTAATAGTTAATTTCATGACCAATATCTATTTGTGAGCAGTTCTTTATGTAAATACATCATGCTATGTCCCTTATGCAATTCATACTTCGGGATGTTTTTCAGCTGCTATAAGCAATCCAACTATTCCCTCCCTTATGTGCCTTGGAATGTATTTTTCTGTTCCATAATTGCAATAAATAATTCATGTTTCTGGTTCGTTTTTGGACAAGAGATACATTATTTTCCTTAGACTGTTCAGATGAAGTAGTTGATATTTGTTGAATAAATGCTAATTTATGAAACTGCATTTAGTTTAGTTTTCCCCAGTTCACTAAACCAAAATACAGCTGTGTGTTTGAAAACCAACAACTAACTGATGTCATGTTCACACTTTTCTGTTTCCATTTAATGTTTTGTCATCCAGGTCTGCTGACTCTGTGTGGTGCAAGTCTCTACATCATTTACTCGTACCAAGCCCTGGCAGAGACAGAGAGTCTGATTGGACCTGATGGTCTAGCCTCCATCCACACCTCCTTCGGCTGGTCTTTAGGTCTGGCCTGGCTCTCCTACGGCTTGGAGCTCCTCACTGGAACTTTACTCCTCATCGCTGCACAAATGGCCAAGCTGCGGCAGAGAGGTCCCACTAAGGCCTGACACATCTCTCCATATGGATTTCAGTTGTGAAAGAAATCATTTTAAGCCAGAGTTAACTCAAAAGAAAAGCAAAGGTGTGGTAAGCTGGTGCACAATGCACCCGTAGTGTTTTACAAGAAGAAAAAAGTGAATGGCCTGTGATCGATTGTGCCCACTTGTGATATGTGTGTGTCAATCATGGTGTTTCATTTGTGGCAAACAAGCCTACGTATTTAATGTAAGATATAGAAAGTTGTTCACTTTAATATCATATTTCACACAAACTTCAGTTTTTATCATTGTATAACTCATATTTTTTGCTTTTAATATAACAAAGAAAACTGTTTAATGTTGTCATACCATGACACGGTACAAAATTAATAAAATTATTCTGAATGTTTATAGTTTTGCTATATGTAACAATGTAATGCCTTACTTCTGCTGTTTTAGCCCAATCAAACACTGGACCTCAGAGGTTTGTTGTCTACTTAACTTTTGGTACAAGTATCCAGAGTTTAACTTTCTCAGGAATTATTGGTTACTACTACACTGATGGCAGAGGGCTTTTAAATGATGAAGGTAAACAGAAATTTAAAAACTGTGGCCAACATTTGCACTCATCTTCCTTGAGTCATTTTTTATAGAACCCACATTTTCTGCAATTACTACTAAAACTTTGGGGTATTCTCATACAAGGATTGTTTACCTATAGAAACTGAGATTTGTTGCCACTTCTATGGAGTAGAAGTCAAACCCAGTCAGATTAAATTAAATTCAAATTCAAAAATACTTTAAATATGGATGAAATTAATCATGGAAAATATCCAGTTTTCAAGACATTTGATGGATTCTGAGTTGAATTTCTGAGCTTCAGTTGAAACATGGTTGATATCTGATTTCTTAACCATTCTCATGTGGACTGGAAGGAGAACTTAGCATCTGGTAGGAATCTCTTATGTTTATTTTTATTTATTTTTCCACACCTGAGACCAACATCCTTGTCCCTGCAAATGAAAAGTATCACTACAGTGTGATGATCACACCACCGTGTTTCACCATGGGGCCAGTGTAGGCATGGTGCGGAAAAGGGTTTCTCTCAACAGTGGCTTTGTCCTTGAAACTGTGTCATTTAGGTCTGGTTTGAGGAGGACATGACTGATGTTAGTAGCGCTGTTGGTGGATTTTCCCATTTGACCCATGGATCTCTGCAGTTCCTCCTTAGTTTTGATGGGTTTCTTAGCCACTACATTAATAATAAGTCTTTTGTCTGTGAGTTTAGATGAACGGGCATGTCTTGGTTGGTTTGCAGCTGTCATAGGATACTCTTTCCATTTTCAGATAAGGTTTTGGGCAGTGTTCTGTCAGATATTCAAAGCTGAGGATTTTGTTTTGTAAGCCATCTTCTAGAAAGAAGATGGCTTACAAAACAAAATAACTTGTCTGCTCTAAGAATAAAATATAAAAAGATGGACTTCTTTTTACATATTTGTTGCACTGAATTTATTAGGGTGTAAAATAACAAAGGGTCTGGATACAAGCACAGAAAATACTCATTTTATTTTAGGTCGGTATTTATTTGAAAAAAAAAAAAAAACAACGTGGGTGTTTTTCACTACAGTAGAAGGGGCATATAACTTCATACGCTGTCTGCATATATCCCAACACTTAATTCAGAGCTAAAAATCCCATCCCAGAAAAAAGGTGAAATGACAAAATTCCTGCTGGCTTCCATTCTAACTAACCATTGCCGTATGCTGATGTGAGACATGGCAACAAGGATAACATGTTCTCCCTGCCAGCAACACATGCAAATGAAGGCTTCCTCTCCCATAGCCGATTAGGCTGAGCATCAGAGGAACTAAGGCAGACCTTGACAGGGGTTTGTTTTTTCCTAAAGACCCAGTATTTAAGTCTGACTATACATTTTTACATGTGTAATGCATTGCATTTGATCTGTGCTTATTTTCATTTTCTATTTAGGTAAATAGAAAATTAGGTACATTTCTATATTTCACTTTTGAGGTAAAGGCTAAATTCAATTAACTATTAACTGGAAACCGACTTTATGCATAACTCCACTAATTTCTGAGCTTAAAGTCGTTCTTCTGTTTCCTGGCTGAATCCCAAATCGCCCCCAACCACTGATTGATTGATTGACTTTTTGATCTCATGGTGGAGAAATTTAGTCGTTACATGAACTCAAATAGTCAAAGGAGAAGAAGAAGGGGCCAAAGGAAAAAAAAGGTGCATGGGATCTCTACAGTATATACAGTCTCAATCTTAACGATCAAGTCTCACTCGCATTAAAGTCACACTCACAGCTGTGAAAGGCGCCTTGATTAAAGCGGGGCGGTGGGGGGTTCGAGATTTGGATGGCCTCTTCCATAGATATTATACACGTAGGATGGTGTCAGCAGCGTGTCCGACGTGCCTAGAGGGCGGCCATCTTGGATCGGACCACAGTTCACACAGGTGCTCTCAGAATAACAGGACGCGCCTTAGATCTCATTTTAATAACAAAATATTACAAAAATATCACAACCCCTTATAAGACCAAAACAAATTTTAAAATTAACTTTCAGTTAGATGACACATATTTATTCAGATTAAAAACTATTCAAACTGAACTCAAACTGGATGAGATATATGCAAGTTATATATTTTGCAAATAGATATTAATATGATAGACACAAAGTTTTATATTGATATGTTATATATATTATGTATAATATATATTCATGTAGGATAGTATTATTATTCAGTATTTTAAAGGTTTATTTTTTGATAAGGAGTATTATAATCTACAGAGGAAAATTTTTTGTAATGTGATTTACAAAATATTTTTGTTATTTTGTTTTTTAATAAAATTTATGTTAAATATAATGTATTTTTTGTCATTGTCAACTAACATCCTTTTAAGTTTGTCTAAATTTTTCTACAAATCTTTTTCAGACTGTTATTTATGCATATGTGAACATTTATTCTTTAATCAGTTAATGAGTAAAAAGTGAAGAAACATCTAAAGTCACCAGAGGATCTCCTGGCGCCATCTTTAAATGCTTGACTTTGTTGCAAAGTCTTTGTTTTCTTTGTGATGTGGTACATTTCCCACCAGGGAGGCTAAAATGTTAGTACGCTGTTTAGCAAAGAAGTCCAGGGGTAGAAGTAGGAATTAGAGGCTAATATAATAGTAGCAGATGAGGACTGGGAATAAACATTTAGCTCTGGACACAAATTAACCAACAGCCCAACATGGAGGGAATTTGACTGGAAAGTTAAGATGTGTTACTTTAGCTCTCCAATTATTACATCTAAATATGGCGGGACATCTTGGCTATGCTGGAGAAACTGTGGAAAGGTGGGGGATTTTGCTCATATATTTTGGGATTGTCCAAAGGTGGTTTTGGAAAAATGTGCAAACAGATATAAAAAATATTTTAGGCGTTTATTTAGATCTGGATATATCTGTATATATTTTAGGAATAATTCCCATGGACATGATCAATAAAGACAATAAATACTTGATTAGGGTCATGCTCCTGATCGCGAAGAAGTGTATAACATATGCATGGTTAAGGCCACAAGCTCCTAGTATCACAGAGTGGAGAGATAGAATCAGAAAAGTCTACATCATGGAAAAAACAACATCAAGACTACATTTAGGCTGGAGACCTTAAGTGGAAACCTATAGCTAAATTCATATTGGGACCTTGACGCCTCTTTGGTCTTTTTTTTTTTTTTTAGATTGTGCATCTCTTGACTTAATCTTCTATTATGTGCTTGTATTACTTTAATCTGTTTTCCCAGTGTGCCTACTGTTGTACGTTTCACCGTAATCATTGTGACTTATAAATCCATGGATGTTGTTAATGAATATGGGTTTCTCTTAATTGAGCTAATGTCTATCTGAAGGAAATGCATCTTTATTTGTCGTTTTTGGAGGTTCTTTTTGTAATTTTTTCCATGAATAGCCCCTGGATAACTGTTAACGGAGCTGGAATAGACAGCCTGTATGCCTGATGTAAGTGAAAGGTCTAAAATGATCTATAAAAATCAGATATTAAGATGTGAATTGTGAGATGTGACAAGGGTGGACATATGTATGTGTTCATATAAAAATTGTTATTGAAAATAAAAAGTTTAAAAAAAAAAAAGTCCAGGGGGACTCAGAGTGGCTCAGGTCATCCTGACCTTTCGCTGTAATCATGCTGCTATAGGCTTAGGCTGCTGGGGGACATAGGGACCACTATTCTATCAATCTGCTTCATTCTACTTCTATTCTCCAATTCTACATACCTTATAAAATGTGGATTTATCACCTGCGATCAGAGGTTGGTAGAGTTACCAAGAAGTTTTACCCAACATAAGTAGTTTTTGTATTTTAAAGACTAAAAATAAGAGGGCTGCCACCTTATCGTGGTGGAGGGGTTTGATTGTCAAATGACCTTAGGAGCTATCTATATTTATTTATCTATCTATATTTATCTATAATAGTATCTATAATAATCTATATTTTCTGGTGTGCAGCATGTTATTTCTATGCAGTCCATCTGTTACTCATTTAAACAGCACAGTACATGTTTTGTACTTGTAATTTACCGGTAGTTGTACATATACATGAAAAGTTATGCAAATATATACTGGTAGCTTGTTTTTCAAACTGTTCATAAAAGGGATTTGTTCCCAAACAACCATCTTGGTCCCCTACCATGATTAAACATTAAAACACCTGCAGTATTTAGTCAGGTGTGGCTAATCTATGAACAAAACAGGATTTTGTGGCTAATATTCAGGTGCGCCTTCTAGTCCAGAGAATACGGTATTTACAGTTTAATGGTGTCAAGGAGGCAGCATGGACTTTATGTTGCTCTGTTTCAAAATATTAAGTTATCACCTAACTGCTCAGTATTTCTGAGGGGCTCGGCTGCTCTGCAACAAGAAGATTCCAGGTTTAGTTCCTGGCTAAGGGTCTTTCTGCATGGAGTTTGAATGTTCTCCTTGTGCATGTGTTGGTTTTCTCTGGGTATTCCTGCTTCCTGCCAATCCAAACTGTTAGACTGTTAGGTTAATTAGCTTCACACACACTGTACACTGGAAAGCATGAGTCATAAGGGACTATGTTTCTCGGCTAGCCTGGGAGCGCCTTGGGATTCCCCCGGAGGAGCTGGCCCAAGTGGCTGGGGAGAGGGACATCTGGGCCTCCCTACTGAAGCTGCTACCTCCACGACCCGACCCGGATAAGCGGGAAAAGATGGATGGAAATAAGAGGAGAAAATATAAATTAAAGGATTACATTCATGATTACAGATGAATAAAGTTAGGCTGGAGACATGACTTAATGTAACTCGTTACAACGCATCTCTGCCTGTAGTACTCTGACAAATTAGATCAATCAGAAGG